AATATATTTGCTAGAGTTGCTGGTGCCGTCTTTGATTGGTGGATATTATTGTGCATCAAACGTTACAGTCTAATTGTGGCTTTGCATATTTTCTGTGATGACAGTAACTTCTGTTCAGTTTTGCTGCCTCTTATTTTGATTGACAGCTGAAATTGTTGTCACATAAACAAGTAATTTAGAACAAAGAAAAAAAAAACAAGAACTCTCTTCTCTTTGCAGAAAAGTTGACTTTTGTGTGCGTGTGTCTGCCTGTGTGTGTATATAGGTGATCAGTGCAGCTTTGTCCCTCCTCACCCCTGAGAAAGCCAACCTGATGCTGTTGTCACCAGAACATGAGGGCCAGTGTCCCCTCCGGGAGAAGTGGTTTGGCACACAATACAGTGTTGAGGGTGCGTTTCTGTGTGTGTGTTTGTGTGCTGTCAGTGTAACAGCTCCTGCCTGCAATGTAGGCATTCAGTGAATACATTGTCTTTTTTTCCCCTTGTGTGGTGATATTCAGCCTGATATAATGCAGGCAGCCAGCAGTAGAAATGCCAGCATTTATCTCTGTCTTTTTAGATGGTGAACAATAGTGTTGAAACAGCATTTAAATACAAAAAAAAAATGTCATTCTTTGATGTAATAATCTCTCAATTCGAAAGCATGAATCTGCAAATACTTTTTTTGTTTTCTAATAGTTTGTTTTCCTTTCACACAGACGTCGAGCAGGAGTGGATGGAGCGGTGGACAGGAAACCTGGAGCTCAACGGTGACCTCCACCTTCCTGCTGAAAACAAGTTCATCGGTGGGTGAATGAACTAGCACTTTGTTTGTTTTGCACTGTGGGCAAAAAAGTGCTGCAAGTATCTGAAATGTGTCCAATAAGATGGTCGTGAGCGAGACTTGCTCCAGCAGTTTGTACTTTTGCTCTCCATTCATCTGTCCAACAAAATACAGTAATCAGATATATTGACCAGTGTTGGAAGAACAGTGCATTTTGGTCAATGCATTGTGTCATCTGTAACACTCCCTTCTTTGTCACTGATCTAATGGAAGTGTTATAATTTTAGCTCAAATATCTTAATTCAATGCATGGTTTATTTCTCTAGAAGAGGAGGAGTGATTTCAATATTATATGCCCTGGTCAGTGGTTTTAATACTGTCCGGGTCACACACGCACCCCAGTAGTAATTACAGCCCCAGTTACTTGCTGCTTTTCAGTGAATTCCCTGATGCTTCTGTCACTAGGGAAACCGTATCTAGAGAAACAGTTTGCATTGTTTTCTTAGCTCATTGCACAGTTTGACAATAAAGGATTTTGCTAACCTGACAGATCACCTGTTAACATCAGTCAACTCATTCAGTGAAAGAAAAAGTAGTAGTTGATTTTGTCTTTGCTCGTCTACATTTGCAAAGCTGAACTGATTTCATTTGTATAAGTGCTTTTCTTATTGTAAAAGTAAAAGTGTTACCTAATCAACATTCAGAAACATTTAAGTAGTTTAAAACTGTCTGTATTAAAAATTACGGTTATATATTACTACTTAGGTACCCCACTGATTTAGCATTGCACTTCTAACGTTAACATCATCAGACTCGCAAAGTCCCCACTTCTCATTTTTAAACCCGTAGTCTAGTCTTCTTTTCCCAGTTCGATTTAGTTGAATGTCGATATTCCTCTGAGTTAATTAGAGGGTTATTCAGATCACCTGTTTTAAAGTCCCAACAGGGGGACCTGTGGGGTTTTTCTCCTATATAATAATGGAGAGCAGCATTACCTTCATGGCCAATCAGGGTGTGACGATTGGCCTTTCTTTGGGGCTTAAGAGAGGTGGGGTATTGCACACCAATTTCATTCTGATACTCCCTAGACTTATTGTAGACCTAATAATAAATAGATTCTGATGTAATATGTCGGTGGCTAAAATTGTCATCTAGAAAAACAACTGCTATCATATTGATAGCCCTAAATCCTTCACCATATTACATAAATCCAGTTACCTTTGCAGATTGCACTGATTGGAGTACATTACAAAAGGTCAAGATTTTAATTCAAACGTGGCAAACAAGGCTCCTCTGGTGCAAACTTTAAGGGCTGATGCATTTTGGCATTTCTTCTCTGTTAATACATTTTGGAAGGCCACAGCACCACATTGCCGATTCTGAGAAACTGTGGAGAGATGATGCGTCTTTACTTATTGGCCCAAGGGTTACTGAATCATTTATCGGGGGGGGGCGACATCTTTTACAGTTTTGACAACTACCTGCATGTTTATCCCAAACTGGACATATTGAATCGTTGAAACTCACACATTATTTATGAGATTGTACCGAACAGAATTATGATGTTTTATTGTTTATGTGCATTTGCTCAGCCACTGACTTCACCCTGAAGCTCTCTGACTGCCCTGACACCGAATTCCCTGTCCGGATAGCCGACAGCGACAGGGGCTGCCTGTGGTACAAGAAGGACAACAAATTCAAAATCCCTAAAGGTAATAGCGGGTTGTGGTGTGTGTGTGTGTGTGTGTGTGGGTGTAGTGTGTGTGTGTGTGGTGTGTGTGGTGTGTGTGTGTGTGTGTGTGTGTGTGTGTGTGTGTGTGTTGTGTGTGTGTGTGTGTGTGTGTGTTGTGTGTGTGTGTGTTGGCGTGTGTGTGTGTGTGTGTGCGCTTCATTTAGCATGCAAGATGTTTAATATCATTAGGGAGGTGTTGACACTCATTTGTCCTTCTTCCTGCTGCAGCCTACATCAGATTCCACGTAATCTCTCCTGTAATCCAGCAGTCTGCTAAGAAGTGAGTTCAGGCTCAGATATGACCTTGTGAAAACTTGTTTGTTTTTTGCTGCAACACTGATTAACATCTCTTTCTTTTCCTCCCTCACTCTTTTTTGTTTTTGTTCTCTCTCTCCTTGTTCCTCCAATCCAATTTCCTTGTCCTTTTCATCACTTCAATCCTCTACTTCCCTTTTCTGTCCTTCCCTCCTTCCATTTCCTCTTTTGTCCATTCCCTTTCCTTCCTCACTCTTGCTCTTATTTCTTGCCTTCTCCTTCCTTTTTTATCTTGCCTGTCTCTTTCACTGCCCTGAATATTAATATTTCTCCCTCTCATCCTTCTCACCACCCCTCCTCAACTTCTCCCTCCCTATCTTTATTTTACTTTCCTCCCTTATTTTTTCGTTCCCTTCCCCTTCAGTGTGGTCTTGTTTGACCTGCTGGTCAACATCCTAGGCCACAACCTTGCAGGGCCAGCCTATGAGGCTGAGGTGGCCCAGCTGGAGTATAAACTGGTAGCCGGTGAACACGGCCTGGTCATCAAGGTCAAAGGATTTAACCACAAACTGCCTGTGAGTGAATGTGTCGGATACGATGACGTGCATAAAACCACACTAATTAATAAATGGTATTTCTGGAAATACAGTACATATCCTTAATGTGCCCCAGAGAACTGTATATGTGTAAGATAAAGCCTTGTAAGGTATAGACTTTTCTTCCTGGGCTATTATATATACGATATGTATAGAACTAATATAGTAATGTAATAACTAACTAATATAATAATGTAATATATAAATGTTTTTAGATAGCTAAAATAACTATTTGGTACGACTTTCTAATAAGGCATACTTTATCTTAGCCTATAAGTGTTAAATAACATACTTATCAATGGTCTCAAATCATTAATTAAAGCTTCATAGCATCTTAATAGACATAAACAATTTTAATTTGCCCTTAATAGGAAATACTGTATGTTTTGGGTGGAGGATATGCACCTCATCTGGTATTAAGTTCCTAAAATGTTAAACCTATTCTTTCATAGAAAGATTGATATACAGACTGCTCTTGCTACTTTCAACCACTTTTAAACAGACAATCGGTATAAAAATTGACAAACTACATAGACATAATGTCATGAAGCATATTGTCATATTTAATCTAGACACAAACCCACACAGATGTGTGCATTGTCTTCATACAAAGATAATAATGGTCTGTCACTCCTCATCTCTCCTTTTAGGCGCTGTTCCACGTCATTATTGACCACCTGGCTGATTTTGCCGCCTCCCCTGATGTCTTCAGCATGTTTGCAGAGCAGCTCAAGAAAACCTACTTTAATATCCTCATTAAACCTGAGAAACTCGGCAAGTGAGTTGTTTACCCTCTGCCTTTTCTTTTCTCTGACATTTCCATCTCACTCTGTGACTCATATTCAAGTGTATGATGCCTTCTAGTGGTGAAACGTGTGACAGCCCTAAATGGAAAAACCTGCTCTTGTTGTCCTCCCCCCCCCCCCCACTTTCCACCCTCTGCTCTTTCTCAGGGATGTGCGTTTGCTGATCCTGGAGCACTCTCGCTGGTCCATGGTGGAGAAGTATCAGGCTCTGACAGCAGGTCTGAACATCAATGAGCTGATGGAGTTCAGCCAGAGTTTTAGGGCCGAGCTGTACACTGAGGGACTGGTTCAGGGCAACTTCAGCAGCGCTGTGAGTGGACAGGCAGTAGACAGACAAGTGGATTGATTAACAATAAAAAATTAGCTGATTAGCTAATGAATCTGTTAATGTTTGTCTGTGCTTGCATCCATTGATTCTGAGTGTACTTGACATTGTTTTTCTGATTTCCTCCCATCACTCTCTGTCTCTCTTATCTCTACCTGTTCATTATCCTTTATTGTATTTTCTCCACAGGAGTCAAAACTGTTCCTGCAGTATGTCACAGAGTAAGTCAGCTATTACACTGAATGCACTCTCTAATGAGAACACCAATACTATACAATCAAATGGATTTGTTTGCCGCCATACACAATAATTAGCATTTGCTTCAGTTGTTCAATCCATGATTCCCCTTTAACCTTCTTCTTGTGTGCTTTTTCTTTTATTCCCTTCTTTCAAACTGTTCTGTCTTCCTCTCCTCCTCACCTCTTGACCTATTTTGTTCCCTCTTCCCTTTCCTTCCTCCCACCCTGTTTTTTTTTTTTTTTCGTGTGGCAGAAAGTTGCAGTTCTCCAAGCTGCCAACAGAGGTGCCGGTGATGTTCAGAGTAGTTGAGCTTCCACTGAAGCAGCACATCTGTAAGGTCAAATCACTCAATAAGGGAGATGCCAACTCCGAGGTCACCGTTTACTACCAGGTACGACCGCATCTGCAGTACATTATCTTTATATATTCCAATTTACAAACACAATTTCAATTCCATTTTTCTTTCTCTCTTTGTTTTATCTAGTCTGGCCCCAAAGCCTTGAGGGAACACACACTGATGGAGCTGTTGGTGGTGAGTGCTGAAGAATGGTGTTTACTTTTCTACATTCACTGTCAGTCCTCCATGCTTGATTGAGTTGTTGTTGTTGTTGTTATTGTCTTTCAGATGCACATGGAGGAACCGTGCTTTGACTTTCTCCGGACCAAAGAAACTCTGGGGTAAGTGTAGTTATCTTTCCAATAACATTTTTTTCTTTTTAAGACTTTTGAGGTAAAATAAAATATGAATCATTATAGGTTTTCATCAAACTTTAAATAGAAAACGAGTAACCCTTGTCCCATTTCCCCCCTTTTAAAACCCTTTTTTCCAATTTTGTCCTGTACTCAAGTTATTTTACGTGCAACTTATGTATGGATTGAAATGAGCTGTTTCTGTCTACAATCCTGTGTCCTGGTCTTTATTGTGGATTATTATTATTATACTTTCCAGAAGAACAAGCAAGTGCTCATCTTGTTTAGAAACTGGAGGATTTTTGTTGGGCATGTCGTGAAATTTGCAAGCTTATAATAATTAATCCTGTACTTAACTTCTTAAGTTACATTGGAACAATGTGTTTCACATTTATCCACAGTTCAAACAGTCTCTTCTGTTACCTGCTATATGATTGAATATCAAACTAGATTTATTATAGAGTGCAAAGTAGAGAAAGTCAAGCCAGGTGGGACATTAACTTTTGGCAAATTTAATGCATTTTCTCATGTAGTTCTTTTGATCTGTCTCTGTTTATCAGCTCTTTATCTTTTTTTATCTTTTTCCCCCTCTGCAGGTACCATGTCTACCCCACCTGCAGAAACACCTCAGGTGTTCTGGGTTTCTCTGTCACCGTGGAAACACAGGCCACCAAGTTCAAGTGAGTCTGCAACACAATCGTAACCTTTCATCCGCCCAAAAGCAAGATACGATTTATCTTAACCGCTTTTCCAAAAGTAAGGTATAATTTATCTTACTGTTCACCCAAACCAGAGCTACAATTTATCTATCCGGCCCTGGAAAAATAGCGAGAGGAACTGATAAATGACCAAAAGAATCAAATAAACCCTATAGCCTATAATATATCTTTCACCTCTTATGGACTTTTCTCTCTCAGTACGGAGCTGGTGGAGTTAAAGATTGAAGAGTTCTTGGCTTCATTTGGGGAGAAGCTCAATTCGCTGACTGAGGAGGCCTTTAATACTCAGGTCTGTGTCTGTGTGTGTAATATTTTGTGTATTTGTGAGTTTCCTATTCTTATGGAAAACCAGAAGTGTTACAGCAAAGGCTACAACGACCCAAAAGTTGTAGAAATGTCAAAAGTTGCTCTTCAGGTTATTTAATAGTAGGATTAATAACACATTTCCTAGCCCTGAAAGCCCCGGCCGCACATTCAGATCTGCTGTTGCAATTCAAATGCTCAAATACTGTGTGGTAGTCAGAACAGTGTGTAGAAACCCTGTGTACTAAATGTGTGTGCTTTGTACAGGTGACTGCTTTAGTGAAGCTGAAAGAGTGTGAGGACACACACCTCGGGGAGGAGGTGGACAGGAACTGGGCCGAGGTGGTTACACAGCAGTATGTGTTTGACAGGCTCAACAGAGAGGTGAGGCTAACACACACACACACACACACACACACACACACACATATCCTCTTTGTGCTTTTGGGGTATTTACTCTTAAGTCATTCCAACAGAAACTTTTACTCATCATTAATGTTTGTTCTATTAGATTACTACTGAATTCTCTGACAACTTAATCCACTATTATTTGGTCACATGTGCCTTATTTCTTATAATTATGTCATAAACGTTCAACTTATTTGAAATATCACACACAAAACAAACTTAAATCCTGTTTCCAAGTGCTGTACAAATAAATATTGTACATACAGCCTTGACAACATCTCACTCCCAATGTTGCCAAATGTTAAATGAAGTATGTTAAGTCATTGTTAATTGAATTCTGTTCACTAGGGGGTAAAAGATACATAAACATAAACACAGCACTGACATATTGTCATGTTTTAAATATGTAATTTACACACATGCAGTAGACATAAGGCAACGTTGCCATCCCAGTTTATGGATATAAGTCTAATATGAACTCTGCTTTTTAACTTTGTTTTGTTCTACACCAACTTCTGAGGGAAATATCTTAAATGATCGACTTTGTCCACTAGCAAGAAACTTTGTCTAACATCTGCTGTGTCACAGTGGGTTTATCTGCTGCTGCAAAAAGGATTGATAAGAGTTATGAGATTGAACCAAAAAAGAAAAGCCATAAAACTAAAAACAATAGGCTGAAAAGTTGGGTAATTAATCTCTGTGGTTACAACACTTTCTCCTCCTTTCACACAGTTAGTTTGATTAACTGTTAACTGTTGTATATTATATTGCTGTTTGAAGCTTTTAGGGAAGGACACCTGTTATTCAGCTCTCTTAGTGTTTTCTCCTTCACCATCTGTGTGTCTGTGTGTTTAGATCGAGGCTCTGAAGCAGATGACCAGGACCGAGCTAGTCTCCTGGTTCAAAGAACATAGAGGACAAAACAGCCGCAAACTCAGCGTGCATGTAAGCAATGCCCTTATAGATTTGTGAGTGTGTGTTGAGCCATTTTTCTTTTGCATGTAGCAACACACTAAATGTATCCCTGTCTCCCAAAGGTGGTGGGATTTGGTGCTGAAGAGATTGATGAGGAGGGCGGTGGTAAAAAACAAGAAGGAGTAAAGGGCAAAGAGGAGGATTTAAGTGGCTCTACTTACGGCGAGGTGTCTAAGCTCACCTTCCTCACTGCCTCACCCAAGATGACGGGTTCCATAGCCATCATGGACATTCCTGCTTTCATTAAAGGCCTGCCCCTCTTCCCCTACCACAAGATACTAGAATAAACTCAGGCTATGAGACAAGCAGATGGCTGCGCTTTGCCTCTCACTGAGCCACATTCAGGGACTCTGCATCATTGGAGACGTAGGCACTTAACATGTGGAGGTGAAGGAAGGTTGAAACGGCTTCAGCTGCTCTCTGGACTTGGATTCTGTCTTTGGGGCCCTGATGTAGATTTTACCCACACTGTGTGCATAAGCAAAAAGCTTGGAAGTGATGATAGAGTTTTCTTTTAGCTAATTGATAATCTATTCTGCTTTCTCACACTCAATTATTTTCTATCCTCAGACACTGGGAGTGTGGGAGCACTCTATCTATTTCTCTATCCCACTGACTGAGAGTCTTTGAATCAAATTCTCATTTATTTGGTTCTCTGAGCTCTGCTGTTATTTTTACTCCAAATCCCTGTCTTTTACACTGTTTGTGTTGGAGCCAAGATTGAGTTTTAATACCATTGGAAAACATGAATCAACTGTGAAAGCTTCGTAAATGCTGAGTCCTTTGAACTCCAGATGTGTGTATTTGAGTGATTGCAAGCTCAATTTAAAGCTCTGCTGTGCACTACTGTTATTAGCTGACCTGGATCATGTCATGGAACTGTGCAAAGAAATAAATCAATGAGTGTTGAGTGAATGAATTAAGCAATGTACTGACTACAGAAAACAGACTTAAACCTAATAAAGGACTAGTGTGGAGGATTTTGTGGCATCTAGTGGGTTTAGTTGCAGATCATAACTTGATTGCTTCAGCCATCACTTTCAAGAGCAAATGAGAAGAATGAAAAGAACAGCTGTGAAACATGAAGAAAACACAACTGCTCATATTGTGAGCCAGTAGTTTGTCAGTTCTGGGCTACTGTAGAAACATGGCGGCCTCCATGGAAGGCGACCTGCTGCTTCTGTAGATAAAAACGACTCATTCTAAGGTAACGAAAACGATTCTTATTTTCATGTTATTATACACCTCTCCAATGTTTGCCGATAGAACCTCATAAATGTTACACACTGGACCTTTTAATTCATCTTCACAGTAAAAGTACACAAGTGAAATATTAAGACTAAAATTCAGTGTATTTAGGTTTGTTTTGTTGCATTTTCTCTACAAGTTTATACTAAAGATGGAAGGAACTTCCATTTTTAACACTATTGATATGACAAACACCGGTCTAAGAAGCGTTTGCATGCTGGGGACTCATCATGGCGTCAGCTCTTTAATTCACACAGGTTTAATTTATGTGTAAATTATACATAACTCACAGACTCATACCTTCTCTTCCCTGAGGAAAAGGTTGTCGCAGGCGATATTGTGTTCGGCTCGTGGCTGGTGACACTCGGCACTATTGAATGTAATTAAAAACTAATCCGGAGCCCAGCACAGCAGAGCGTGTTAACAGAATTGACTAATATGCCCACAGGGAAGCCTCGTACTGTAGCAAAGTCTTCACCTGCAGTAGCCTCACATATGATGATAACGGTGCTACCTATATGATGGGTGGCAAAGCAGCTTTTCCAAATTAAAGGTACAAGCTTTTTGTGTACACTATATGTAGTGGTGGAATGTAACTACCTTGTACTTAATTAGAGTAGTACTTGTATTTCCATTCCAGTGAAAACCATTGATCTCCAAATTTGGTGATTTCTGAATTAGATTTTTTCTGATAAACTAAAGGATTAAGTGTCCCTTTATGGGTTGAGAATTTAGCTAAATAAACTATTTAAACCCCCCTTGGATTAGCTGAAAAAAGGCTTGTCACAAAGCTGAAAACATGACTTTTTAGAGATGCATGGTCCTCACAGGATTAAACTACCAAAGTAAAGCAATTAAATGAGCTCAATTTTAAACCACTACAGCAATAAAATGCAACATACACATTAATGCAGAGGTAATATTAATTACTTTTACTTTTGATACTTTAAGTAAATTTAGCCGATAGTACATACTTTTATAGGTCCAATGTGTAACATTTAGGAGGATCTATTGGAAATTGGAATATAATATTCATAGGTATGTTTTCATTGGTGTATCACCTTATAATCTTTGTTTTTGTTTCTTTAGAATGAGAGCTGGTCCCCTTCAACATGCTGAACTGCCATGTGAGTAGCCCAGAACAGACAAATCAAACACGTTCGTGGCCACCGTAGTTTCACCTAAATGCTTGGAATGGGAGGGTGAAGTGAGGGCATTGCAATCAGCAACTACACCACTAGATGTCACTAAATCCTACACACTGGTCCTTTTTTAAAGAAGTCTGCTTCAGGGTGTCAAACCTGGAAGTAATTATAAGATGCATTTTTTTTGCTACTGTGTGGGTATACTGTAGAGAAGTAGTGAAGAGTAAAAATACAAGAAGAGAACTGTGCTTAAAATGGGCTTTTCGGCAATAACGCAGTACAAGATTTAGAGAAACATAAGAAAAAGTCCAGCTAAAAAGAAGTACAAAATCTACCTGTGGGATAGACGGTGATGTTATCACTCCTTAATGATACAATGTGGAATTCACTTGACAAGTTCTGGGTATATGGTAGCAACTTGCAGCGCTGTACAGTCCCACAGAGCATTTCTTGCTTGTGACAAACACATCTAATTAGCTTTCATTTTATTGTGATCTGAGCTGTGCCTCCCTGGTTGATCAGCGGCCTTAATCTCCTCTGTGGAGAATGCAGGATATTAGGGATAGGACACCAAAACCAAAGATACTGCAGCTTTGATGGGAAAATGGACTCTGTGAATATAAACTACTAGGAACAGAGACAGAGCTTCAATTTTCTTGCACTCCCTTTACACACTGAACTCTGTGTACCACAATCCAGGAAAGGCCTGCAGCTATTTGAAGACGGAAAATATTTTTTCACACTCTGCACTCCACACAGGTTTAGTGATGTTTCAATCTGGCGAGTTCACAGGTCATAGGAGGCACTTGACTTGTTTTGGCTGTTTATGAAAACACTGTTGAAGAGTATTTGGCCTTTGGAAGAGTGTTGAAGAGATCTTTTAAACCTTATGTAATGGCACATGGCATTCAGCCTAATATCTTCAATTTAGTTACTTCAGAGTAAAAGCCTTTTTTTATCTGATGTTTCCATTAGTTTAGCTCTCCTTCTAGTGCTGCTATATAAGAATGGGTTTATAGAGAAATAAATCAGTTTGTGTTTTTACTAGTATAACATGATTTACTGTAGCTATATTCTCCTTGTCGCCTTACTTCACTGGGTTGTAGCAGACAATTTTTGCCTGTCACTGGCAATAAAAGACTTCATAGTTCATCTTGAGCTTACAGTGGGACATTTTGACCACCTTCTCTTTTCAGAAATACTTAACATTCACCTTTTTAGTAAAGAGGTTTTCTTTAGAAAACTGCAGACACAAATAATTTGTTACATGCAGATGAGATTGCCCTTCCTGCTTTTCTAAATGCAATGTTTATTATTGTTTATGTTTATGATTTATGATAATCCAGTGCAATATTTGTTGAGACATTTCACATCACACATCTCCTCAAACTCGTGGTGGCACTAGAGGAAAGTCAAAGTCAGTGGGCAGTTCCTCCAGGAAGCTGCAATGTTGAATGAATTCTGCACAATGTTCTGCAAATTTGACCAGTCATTGTAGTTCATGTACAAAACGCTGAGCCACAGGTCACCAAACGCACTTCCTTGTTTTTAGTGATGAAAATACAGGCCATACAGTTGTGCAATGCAAATGTCTCATATCCTCCAAACAGCCTGATTTTATTCTCATTGCAACAAGTTGCCTTTAATTTTGAATGAATTATACAAAATAATACAATTATTTTTGCAGTTTTCACTTTCTCCCACAACATAATTTCAAAAAATGCCTAAAAACATTGCAACATCCCTCGCAATTGTTTAGAAAAGCTGTTGTGAAATCAGGCATTTTAGGTTGCAACAACCCCCCAAAAATTTCAAACTGAAAGATTTTAAGTAAACTAAAAAACCAGGAAAAACAATGCACAGAAGAACATCCTCTGCTGTTACTATCTGTGCTTTTGAGGAAAATGAGAATACGCCTTTCCCCATTGTCTGCCTGTGCAACAGAGAGCAGCTGTGTCTCACCACTTCTTTGGATCAGGAAGTCATAATTCAGCCTTTGGGGTATGTAACTGTGTCACAAGTAGTATTTCCAGTAAATGAACTCAGCCTCTACTGTCAACACTAACTGGTGGTCCTGCTAAGAAAGGCTTAGTGACTTTGTCCCAGAGAGTTGGGCTCATGCTGTGTTCTACTGTCAGAAGCCGTTCTTTCTCATTCGCTCTCTGTCTCCATCTCTTACACTGAGTACATATGCAAAGAGGAAGTGTATCACAAATGCATGCAGACAAGCTTGCCCATGAATCAGAGAGGATTAGATTTGTTCAGCGCGCACACACGCTCTCGACTTCACCCTGTGTAAACTTTCCACTGCTACACTCTGTGTCATTCCTGTTGTCATTCTAATTTCATCTGAGGAACCCTGCCAAGGCAATAATGAACTCAAGTCATGAGGCGGGGGCCATGCTGAGTAGTTGTGAGTCGTTTTGTGTGTGCGTGCATGTGCGTGTGTGTTTGCGTGCAGCAGAGTAAATGAGAGGGAAGGTAAATGGTGGAAAAGATGGCGTTAAAGAGAGGGGCTGGCCGGATTTACGCATGTTGTTTTGTGTGCCGTGTGTGTTTGTGTGCGCCGTGTGTAACGTTGTGCTGGTTTTAAATTAACCAGTGCAGTGGGGTGTATCATCTAAGCCGCTGTAATGTGTCGACTCCTTTATTCAATTTGAGCAGTAATCTTAGAGCTCCCCACTGGCCTGCCTTCATCAGCCCCCTGCTACAAAGCTAGCTTAACATAGCCAGAGACGCACCGAGGCAGAGAAATGCTAAAGAGATGAGCCACTTTTCTGGATCAAGATTATACTTAAACAAATGTAGCCAGGCTAAATCTCCTCATTATGTGGGTATTATGGTCAAGATGGATCCTGTTTGCAGAAGCGGTTTAAGATGGATGACTCCAGCTGCTTCGGGGAATTAGAAAGATGAAGATAGTGTAAGAGATTCATGAAATAATCCTTCAGTTACATGATTCTGAGGTAAAGAGATGAGTGCCCTTATTTTTGCCCTTTTCGCATTGTGAACTTCAGCACCATGGACAGCAGCGTGCACTCATCCAAACTGTTTTCCTTTAAAGACTTTACCGTCTAGACCTTTTTCCTTGAGGTCAGTGACCCATTATGTTTAAGAGACACAAAGGGTATGTGGTTACTCTCACCTGAGATTTCACTTTTCTGTCTTAACAGCAGGAAAGAAGCCTGAAGTCTCTCATTTATAGTGAAATCAATCTGTTTTGATATTACAAATGTATCATAAAATGCATAATATAGCTTTATAAATGGATAATAAATCATTTGTTGTATGTTGTGCAGTTAACCTTTTTATAGTTTAACCATTAAAAGGTGGTCCTAAATCAGCGTAAATAAATCATTAATAAATGCTCATGAGTTTCTCGGGGTGTGCTGATATATATCTTAATGAACTGTAATATATGTAAATAAAGTCATTATTAACAGGTCACAACTTTTCAGAAAAGTTAGTAAGTCATCTACAATTTGAAAGTAATTAATTGATGAATGGCTTTTACAGTAAATCAGATCTGCAGGTGTCAATGTTAATGTAAATGTCCTGCAGTTCTTTTCCAGAAGGTCAAAGGTCCACAGTCTTCCTATGA